AAGGCCACCAAAAAATTTCAGGAGGATCATCAACGTTGGGGACCATATGCCACTACAGTTAAAAACGCGTCGGCGATGTAGATACTGCGCGATGTCAAAGAAAGAAACTCGTACAAAAATAATGTGTGCTGCTTGCAACGTGCCCTTGTGTATATCATGTTTTACTCCGTACCATTCATAGACCATATAATGTTGACCTTTTCAAACTTTTTTTGTAAAAATTTTCGGGTCATTGAAGACTTTAATATTGTAAAAAATGTGTGGTTGTAAGCTCATTAATTGCCAATTTATTGAAACAAAAAAATCATCCGAGCGGAAATGGTGTTATGACAAGACGGGCCGCTACCGCGCGCATGGTCCCTAGATCAAATCCCAGGTCACACCCAACGTACATCAGCCAAATTTCTACAGCTGGTTGCCTGTTGCTGGGAGGGATAATTGCAACGCAGAACACATTTATAACTCGATTCTAAAAAAGTCGTAGTCTAAGGGTTAATAGTGTCGCTTGTGCTTGCATTTTGTGGGTTCATATTGTTGTATAGACTTCTGCATAAGGGTATAACATCTTAACTCTCATCAAACGTCCATCAACCATTTCTTCCAGGTTCTCCAGAAGCTCTACCATCCATCTCTGCAAAAATAACCTACCTCCCTCTTCACTGCTAGTTAGCGGTCCACTTCTGGTTACCATTTCCTCGTTCATTATCAAATCCATGGCTATTAAGCTTCAAACTCCTTGTCGCAATCAAAGCCGACACAAATATCGTGCTCCAATCGCGCGTTCTTCCATACCGTAGTTGTTTTCGCTGCGGGTGCGCCAGCCTGCCGCGCGATGTCGCGTTGCGAAGAGCGAAAAAGTCGCGTTCTGTCCTAAGTACCCACACCCAAATAGACTCCTGGTTGTGTCTGCACTCTCATTAACATGTGGTTGCTAAAATATCCGTCGTCATGAGATTTGCAAACAGCTGTTGCTCAACGTGTAACACAACGTGAAATATCTATTTATTATTAACTGAATTGTATTTTGTTGTTAAAATGTTCAATCTATGGTGCCATCCTTCTTTTTACGGCTTTTTGTCTGGATTACTGTTTTCTTCCGTCAAAATATCGATAACGTTCTGTGCTACAGTGTCCAATGGCGCACGCATGATACAGCTTTCGCGAAGTGGAAGCAGTCGTATGACCTCTTTGAGTACATCAAGATATTCCGACATACTTGCGTTTTCAGGAAACGGTATCTGAATTGGATAGAATTGCATGAAAGTACCTCAGCTGCTTTCTTTGCTGAACTAACTTTCCATTTCAACATTTGAGAACATGAAGAAGTATTTGGGAGCGATGAAGCATTTGGGAAAGCCGACTTTATCGTGTTAATAACCTGAAATCGTAAAAGTGGACAGAAACTGCGCTCAAACCCTAATTCAATAAAGGTACCTCATCCTTATCGAAGGGAGTTGCGGGACACAATTCAATTACCACAAAGTTACCAAACCTGAATTCTCTACATGAGGAATCAAAATCAGGAGCACTCATTCTTTAAAGCAACAGTCCAGGCAGGGTCTGTTACTTTCAATGCTATTGGATTGAAGGATACACTAGCCCTAGTGAGAACATATGAAGTGGAAATATTAACAGAACTCACCTCGGAAACCGCAAAAAGGGCGTAAAGCTCCTCAAAAATGGGTGTGCTTGAATTCCCCAGGACCGCCCCCTTGCCAGCCGTGATTGGCTGCGGCGGCATTCGTGAGTTTTGGGACTACACGGAGTCTTTGAACTAGGTCCTTTTTTACGATTCATTATTGTGCCCAATTGCAATTACTAGCATTACCAGCACTTGCAATTGGGGCGTTTACTGCGGGCAGGGGTTCGGACAACTCGTCCAGCACACTTCCTCCCCATTGCTAAGCGGCAGAGGGGGAGTCCCTGTCTAAGTCCCTGTTCGACGTTTTTTTTTACTTTTTTTCATTATTGGTCAACTTTCACCTACAACTTCATTATAGGTGGTTTCTTGCCCGCGAATTCGTTCTTGGATTGTTGCTTTAAGCAACTTCAGGTTGATATCCCTTTCAGGTGCGGTACGCATTCTACTTCCATTTTTTAGTAATGGTGTTTGAATGCGCTTTCCCTATACAAAATGATTTGCGGGACCAGTCGATGTACAATCCACTATTTTTATCCTCGCAGCAACTAATAATTAAGACTGGTACCAATTAAGCGACTCCGGGGGATGGAGAGCTTGGTTGGCCACGGTGACGCACGACCAGGATCGATCCGGACGCTCGCGTGTAATCGTCCACTGCCATCACAGGGCCACTCTCCACCCCATTACGTACTTCATATTGACAAGAGTTCACCATAGCACTCACCCTGATGCGCTTGAGGAAATAATTCTTTGCTCTTTATTGGAAAGTTGATCAAGCTCCAATAGAGAACGAGGAAATCGTGTTGGCGATTTTTTGCGGTGGCCATATTTGGGAATGGCGTAGGTTAACCAGGTTTTAGGGGCTCGTGTATGGAGCAGTTGAACGGATCGGTGGCTGTGAGAGTGGCGGTGTTCGTCAGGTGTTCCGTTTATGAGAAAGCTTTAGAAGCATAACAAGTGACATAGACAATCAGATCATCTCCTGTTCCGTAGTTGTAGATATTTACCCTTCCTCCTCCCTCGATCGCAGTTTTAAAGGTCGAATGGGAGAGGGGAGTTGTCGCGGCCCTTTTTATTTTCTTTCAACAATCCAGTTGATTTATATATTTATTTGATCAATCGGTTACAACGGATTAAATGAAATAAGGGTACAGACCGATCGGCGCTCGCTTGTCAGCGGGATCAGCCCTCGTGGACGGCGCTCCAGCTGTCGGTAAAACTCCTAACTGCCGGTCCGAGCGAGGGAAAAGCCACTCCCACTGACAGGCGGTGACCAAAACAAGAAGGACGTTGCGGGTGCAAGTGCATACCGCAGCAGGAGTTGACTTGTGTCGAGTGGTCTCCGAATCAAATGCTATAGAAGCAGTCCTGATGGGCCCCCACTTCCTTAGATCTGGTGGTGAACTGGAGTCGTATGTGGAGCCCATATTGAAATATACCTGACGCCAGGGTTGAACTGGTTCTCATTCTTTATTTGGCTATATCAGCCCACATAGTATCAAATAAAGTACTTTTCAGTTCTGCTGCGCTTCAACAACCCTCAACGAAAAGCCATCATGAAAAGCCAGAACTTGGAGTTCTACAAGCGATCGGCTGAGCTATTTACTACACAAAATCACACATAAAGAACGGCTTTAGTGCTGTGGCATCCATCCATTCAATGTAAATACAAATTCTTAAATAATAGAATTTGTACACCATTACAAAGTTTTTCCCATAGACTGGATCATTTTTATTGAGGGCATCCGGTTTGAATTCTGCAAGGTGTGGTTGATTCTTTTTTGAATATGGAAACAAAACGTCGCTTCTTTATTGCCTCCTCCCTCTTGTATGTGGCGAGATAACCTCCGCGCAATACAGGCGCCGTGGCGCTAGTCCCGCAGGCGGAAGGTTTTGAGTTCTTCGGTCGGGAATTCTTTCGCGCACTGCGTTTTAGATGCTTTCAGTAACAATGGCTTTAATTGGCAGGATTTCAAATGATCCATACTCAATAAGTACATTCGACGTTATCAAAGAAGCTCGGTCAACTATTTGAAACACTTTTTTGTAGGAAGCAGAAACGTGTACCTCCTTTTCAGTAGTGGAAGAGTGCCAAGAGTCAACAGCCTTCCCTTGTAAACGATGCCAACCCGATCGCACAAAACTTCGCATTCTTCCGCAGAATCGGTTGCAAATAAAATTGCTCGTCCTGCTCGTTGAGCTGAACGCATGGCGCTCCAAGTGAATCGCCGGGTCTATAGAATGGAAATTTCAATATGACTGTGGAGAAATAAAAAATGCCGATCTCTCACCCTGATATCAACTCCTTTTGTGGGCATCTCGAACACTAATACTGGAGATTGTGACAGCATTGCAGCAGCAACATTTGCCCGTCTTCTATTCATAGCGCTGAAAAGCCATAGCTGTGATACCCTAGCCTTCCTCGTCTTGTAAATACCCGCGCAAGCGCAGTCGTTAGCTTCCACTGCGCGCCGCCCGTGAGTTCCCGCTCCACCGAGGGTAGCCATCGAAAAGTTTAACAACGCCGCAGCGACGTCTTGTCCGTTGTGAGGCTCTGTCCTCCACCTTCTTCAAGGACGGCGCTTAGTATAAGTGACGACTTTGCTCGACGCATTCCCTTCTCGTTGAGAGAACGCAGAGGACACACGTAACAAATCGGTGACACGTAAAACTGCGCGCTCTTCTGCTAACGGGCCAACATCGACAGCGTCACGGTATACCCCTTATATTCTTGAGCATATAATCTTTGACCCCAATTTATGGTTAGACTGAGGGAGTTTTTTCAGTATTTGGAGCGAAACGTGTGGTAATGGTCTTCGAATATTCGAAGTCTGTGAAGGTCTAGGCAGGATAGCGACAACGATAAAGAGCGAGTGAGTACATTGCATGGACTCCAGACGCGGTGCCTTCGTCGTGTAATTCTCGCACTAATTGTAAGTTCTACGCTCACGCCTTCAGTTACGTGGAGTGTGTAAGGCATACCAC